AAAGTGTATTTCAAAATGAAATGACTGTTACAGTATCATGTCTAACATCAGTTGAATTGTTTCTTGCAAATCTTTCTCATGTTTTCTTCTTTCAACTCCCTCTGCAGATATAAACTTCTGAGGTATTCCAGAGAGCGCCAGTATATTGATGGGTTGAACAATTTAATATATACTCCTAAAATACTTGTCAGTAGATTGTATAAAAATATAACTGTTAATCTCATACCAGAACTTGCTCCTGTTAGAGACTATTGATGGAAGTGGAATGACAAACTACCCTACCAGAATAAACTTTTAACACTGGAAGCTACTAATAGACACTGTAAAACAAAACAAAACCAAACCAACAAACAGCGGCTTAGAATTAGAGACTTTTGACCATTTGATGATGCATATTTGGGATGAGAAGTAAAGTGATTGTATGTACCACGCATTTTGTTCTGAAAGAAAAGCCAGCAGCTACCACTCAGATGTTTACAGCATGAGACTACTGTTCAAGCCTTCATTCTTCATATTCTCTATCTTAACCACTCAACTAAATAAACTGCAGAAAACAGACTTGTAGCTTCTCTGGAAGTAGGGACAGAGGCCTCTTCTTCCAGGAATTTTTTTATACTAAACCGCCTCCCCCTCGTATTTAAATGAATGCTTTTGTTTCTTTTTAAAACGTGTTTTGTAAATATGTGATGTAAATTAATGTGTGTACATTGCTTTTAAATTGCTCAATATTTTATGCTTCAGTATGTATTTGAGTGTGTTCTTGTTTGAATTCTATAGGAATGTTTTTATTAGCATGAAAGAACAAGTGTAAAATGTAAGTATGCTTAAAAAAAGGTTATACCTTATGCAAAATGAAGGAAATATTAATCGTTGGCCAGCTATGACTGTAAACTGTTATACTAGTTTTGAGCTCTAGGCCTCCTGCGTATCTACATAGCAAAATCGATTTCATATATGAACTTGCTAGAAAGAAAGCTTTTAATTTTATTTATTGCCAGCAAAATTGTATGATACCCTGCCTGCCATCTAAATCCTATTTATATGCATATTGCATGTGTATTATGGAAAATCTTGCGGTTGTTGCGTATTATGATCTACAGGAACTCTAACTGTTTCCAAGTGTGCCACTAGTGTCAATGTCAGGGATTTTAATGCCTAAAACAATGTGTCTGGGTGCGTACAGTATTTTGGTATTGTTCTTTTTTATTTAAATCCTAGTAAACAGCACTTTTATTCCTCCAAAATCAGAAGAGCCAAAAATGTGTCTTCATTGGAAGAATATTAAAGCTAGATTTTTAAGAAAATAATAAAACCTAGTTCTAATAGTTCTAATGCTTGCAGTGTGGGATTTTCAGAACCACGGTGTTGGTCAAACTGTTCCGATGATGATGGCATAAGCGGAACTGAAAGCAGGCCAATCCCAAGTGCTTTTTAAAATTCCACCCATAATATATTATCAATATAGCTTCTTAAGGGCCTATTCTGATAGAGTGCTGAGTGCTTCTATGATGCACTAAGTATCCTCAAGTCGATGACTTTCAATGAGATTGAGGTTGCGCAGTCCCACTAAAGATTGGTCCTGTCTGTTTCTCTATTTTTGTGGTGTTATATGTATGAGTAACTATCCCCTTTCCTTGGCTTATAATGAAAACACATCTTCTTCTTTTCTGTTTGCTTGTAATGTTACGCTACCTAAAAGTATCCCACTGCTAAGCATTATTATCTTTTCCTAATAATTTTTTTACATCCCTTGTTAATACTAAGGAAAAGGACTGGATCATTTATTTTCTATGTTAATGCAAAGATATTGACCAAGACCTACTAAACTGTTTTGTTTGTCACAGTTACTCAACTCTTTAGGAACCAAAGACTGACTTCTGCTCCCATGAAGAATGGAAAGCAGTATATAATAAGGATTGTTTATCCATAGAGTGTTCTGTAAGAGTGTTGACAAAGAATACTAACTTTAACTCATTACTATGTGTTGGTTTCCTGAATTGCTGCCGCAGCTGGTGTGGTGCTTTGTATATTTGAGTTTGTTTGCCATAAACACCTTTTATTTCTTTGACACCCCAGCAGCAAATTTTGCCCTTAGCCATTCTTCAGTAAAGTTAGGAGCTTAGTTGTAGGCATCCCAAATATTTAGTAGAAATGTAATGATTTAATTTAAGTAGTTGAGAACAATTGTAAGGGATATTTTAAACCATATTGGAATTACCTTAAAATCTACCAGTTAATCTGATATGCTTTAGGAATGATGTAATGCAATTAAAATAACAAAAAGTAAGCATAAAGTGAACAAAACATCCTTCAAAAGCATGCTTAAGTGGTTTGATCACCTCCTGATATATTTTTCTATAACTGAGTGTATACAATATTCTGAAGCATATGGATAAAGGGGAGATAATTAATACACTGTATGAACCATTATATCTTCAAAATAAAATTAGTCTTATTTCATAACAGACTAATACAATTCTTTAAGAACTGTTGAATAAATTTTTAAATCCCTGATGTAATTTTGAAGTCATTTCTGGTTTTCAGTACAAGTTCACCTACAATTTAACACCTATGATTATGAAACATTCTTTGGTACTGTAGGTCTGTACTGTTTTCTGAAGCATGCTTTTGTGCCCATTTGTTAGGCATTCTGTGAAATTAATGTGCAATTTTTAAAAATTCTGATGCATATATATGTATATATACATACATATATACATACTATATTACACATATGCTGTGGCTGAACTAATATAACTTTACAGCTCTAAGTGCTTAATCATGTATGGTCTTAGAAAAATGTGATTTAAACCAGTATATGAATGGATTATGATATATAGCTGAGTTCTTAAAAAGTTTACATTTTGGTGCCCCAAAGTGATGGATGTTAAATTATGAATCGTTAACCAACACTCTTCTCCAAATACCTTTTATCACTTTGTTGGGAAGTTTTAAAAGTTGCCATCTTAAATTACATAAAAAATAGTGTTTGTATACTACCTGCTTGAACTCAGTGCTATTCTGTAGTGAATTTTAACATAGACAGTGCCTTCAAACAAAATAAATGCGATGCAGAACTAAGAGTTGTTCACATTCCTTTTGATATTTTCATGATTCTTGTAAAATGTAGAGCGAAGCCAATCACATTGGCTCTTGCATTGCTGACAAGGCAAATTAAGGATGTCTTCTCTTCAAGGAGTGAACATGGAAGGAGAAGAAAGAGGGAGTATTTTACAAGATTCTGAAGGTCTTGCAAATTAACAAGTAAAAACATTACAGAAATATTAACAGTGGAATCTGGCTGATGTGCTAAGATACTCTTAAGCCCATTTGCTGTATTTCAAATTTAAGTAGGAAAATATAAAATATAAAATCTGTTTTGCAATAGACAGTATATTGAAAAGCAAGTGCAAAATGTCCTTTTTCTTGGATCTTGCCAGTCTATTTTTCTACCATTATGTTTACTAATGACTCTGTTGTGGTGGGTTACTAATGAGCCAGTTATTTAAAAATATTAAAAGGATCCATTGCGTATCAGCAAGAAGAAGTGTACTTAAGATTATTTTATTTGTAGAGGTATGTAAGATAGGCTTAATGAAAAATGCACTGAAACAAATGCTGGGAATTTCCTGTGTACTATCATAGTTTTGGTTTTTTGTTGTTCATGAAAATGTTTGTACTTTTTTATCATTGTCTTTTATGAAATATAATGTTCTAAAGATTGTGTTGGTTTGTTTATTCTGAGGTTCTGTGGAGAACGTATCTTCTTTGTGTTTTGTTTGTAGACAAAGTGCTCATTTTTGTAGTGCTCAGTACCTCGAAGTAACAATAAAAGGAAGGGAAACCTGGCCGGCAAATACATCAGGTTAGGCTATGATGGGATCAAGCCTTAGGCTAACAAATCGTTTTCCCTTTATTGGTGTTTATATGCTTTCAGCTTTTGGTTTTATTAGGCTAAATGACTCAACGTTTTTGCGTATTTTTCCAAGATAAGGTTGCTATTCTGTTGAATCTCCTAATGGCTCTTCTCTGCGCTTATTTCTGTTTAGGATTAATCTTCCTTATACATGGATTACAAGAATGGGAAGTAGAAGGATTCATCCGTATTTCTCCCGGCATTAAATAGGGAGCTGGTTTTCTCAGGAATCGTCGCTTATCCTTCTTATTTTTCTTTGTATCTTACAGCTATTACAAAAGTGTCTGATGGTTAGAGGTATGCGAGTAATTTTTGGGAGTACTTCAACTGGGGCAAAGGTATTTGCAGAATTTTATGAAAATACACGGATAAACTTTTCTGCAACACTGGATGCGGACTCTCCTTGAAAGTGTCACCAGTTATAATAGATTGGAAAGCAGGAAAGAAGGCATTTTAAGTATGTGTAGCATCCTTGCCATCCTTAAATGCTGTTCTACCTTGCTGTCACTTTAAAGCTGCTTTTGCTCCTATATCTTAAACTCACCTCCCAATTCTGATTTTTATCTGATGATTATGTGGGGTCCTGGGTAGTAGTCCCATGTGACTTCATCTGTTGTGGGCTTCAGTAATAAAGTATAGATGATGGTAGGTGGTGGATTGCATTTCCTGTGTGCTTACTTTTCATGAGACACCTTTCAGATGTGTTTGGTCCGTTTCCTTTGCAAGAAGGAATGTGGTTTATTAACTTCATGGAAGACTTTGGTTTATTCCCAGAATACCAGTAACGGAGTTTCAATGCATTTTTTCTAAGCTTAACGTGTTTTTTCAAACCCTAAACTTTTATTCAGAAGAGCAATATACTTACAGAATACAGAAATACAGAATACTTTAATTCAGAAGAGTATTTGAAAACAAAGTCAATACACGTTCTTCCTAAAGTTAACAAAGTGAGTAAACAACTTGACTGTTACTGTTAGTGATTTCCTGTGAAATCTAAAGCTATTGATGCAGTCAGAAACTAAGTTCTTATCATTTATGGAAATTTTAATTTGCACATCTAAATTTTCATGCTTAATGTCAGCTTCTATTCCGCTGGCTCACTAGCTACTGCTTTAGTTGAGTAAGAAAAGGGACTGAGGAAAACAGCAATGGAGTAATGTCGATAACCAGCATCATTAGCTGTGAACACCACCTGATGAAAGAAAAAACAAATACAAGACAAATGTGGAGACAAATGAGGAGGGATCTCTAGATATGAGCCTAGAAGGAACCGTTGTGATCATTTTATCTAACCTCCCACAAAACTTGGGAAATATCTGCTCTTCTGGTGATTTGATCAGTGTGATCAGCGACTGCCTGTCGCACACAGTTTTTCCACTGGTTAAATATCCTTTGTTAAAAGCATACATGTCACTTAAATTATTTAAAATTTTATCAAATATATTTATTATCCAAATTATGTATCCAATTACTATCCAGTAAATCCGTATTGAAGATAGACATTGAACCCCATTGATTGTCTTAAAAAAAAAAAAAGGCATTCTTTCAAGTATTTGAATATTTCTGTTGCTCTTACGAAGTCCTGAACTTTGAGGAACAGAATTAAACATAGTGCTACAGTAACTATCATCAGGCCAAAATATGAAGTAATGAGTTTCTTTACTCCTACTTACATATCTAGTAGATGGAGGAGGAGTGCATTAGTCCTTTGGCCACAACGTAATAATGACCTTATGTATGAATCATTTACAACAGACCTTTTAACATCTCCCCCATCAGCTCATGTCCCGTCCTTTGATTTCTCCCTCTGCGCAGTAGATTATTTTGTGTTGTGAGATGATGGGTGTCAACTTTTAAAATAGGCACAGTTTAATAACATTCTGTGATGCATAGCTTGTGCTCCTTTCAACATTAATAAAAAAGATGCATATGAGACAGCCAGAACTCAGCAAAACATGATCCCTACGGAGGCTTATTTTTAAGAAAGGAGGCTCTTGTACTCTGGATTAAATTCATTTCTAGTCTGGAATATAGACTTAAATGTTATCTTGATGTATAATCAATTTACTTGCATACTGTAAATCTTTCATCTTACCTCTTTTATTTCAGTTATCACAGAAGGCAAGACTATCCAGCATTGACCTTCATTGTTGTCTAGAATAAGAATGTCATTTCTCGTCCATTTCAGGGAGGCAGAAACAACATTTAACCCAGGTGTTTGCCACCTTTTTTCCAAGGAGATGAGGAAGGGCTGTCTGAGCAGCAGTTGCAAACCGTACAGCTGGTGGTGCTCACTGATCTGTCACAGTCCGGCAAACAACTAATACAGGACTGCTGCTGCTACTGAAAGGTCATGTGAAAGGGCTGATGCTGTGGAGGGGAAGGGGACAGCCCCCAGGGAGTCCCAAATCCTGGAGCTGGCCTCAGTTGGTACCAGGTTTGGACCACCTTCATCTAACCAGTTTATCTGTCCCATGCAAACTAAAAAGACCTGTTACACTTTTTTCTGCTGTAAACTGAGGATCCAAGCATTCAGAACACAGTTCATACTTCCATTATCTTTAAAAATCTAAATATTAAAATTTGTCTGCAGCTGTACAAATACGGGATCCAAAAGGCAGAAAAATCCTTTTCCCAGGAGACTTAACGGAGTACTCCACCTGTTCTCCCTCAGGTGTCTAGAAATAGTCAGAGAAAGAATCACAGGCTTAAGTAGAGGTAGAAGGATGGAAAACCTCTTCGTAAGTAATGCACCTAAGAGCTTAGTGAGAGTTACGGGGAAGCTAGTAACCAGATTCTCTCATGGGTATGTTGTTACAAAGCTTTGAGGCTGTGGATTTAAAGTGTTAAAGCAAACATTTTAAAGTGAAAAGAAAGTTCAACATGTGCAATTAGTAATTGAAACCTAGACATATAAAGTATCTTTATTCTTTGCAACTAAAGTACAGGAGAAAATGAATACTCACATCAGCATGGTGATGGAAGGGATTCAAGCCCAGTCTCTTCCAGTAAGAGGCTGTGTCAAGCTCAATCTTGTATATCCCTGTTACAAATTGTTCTTTAGTTGTGAGCTCATGGAACTCTCCGTTGTCATTGGTTTGTCTGTGTGGTGGCAGAAGAATGCACTTTTATATTTTGGTTAAAAGCCCAACAAAAAGGCAGTTCTTAGCAATTGAACTTGAGTGATGTTGTGTAGCTTAAGTAATATGATGAATACTTCTATTGATCTGGAATGGCTTACGTCCATCTGTATTGTGGATGCTTCAGAGCTTATCTTGGCATTTGCTACTTCCACGATCGCCACAGCAGATGGCTGCCTGCCATGTCACTACTCTGCATGGTTTGGGGGTGAGCCAAAAGCTGGCATTATTGTTCATAGACTCTTGGCAGAGTCTTGGAGTTAATTAAATGAACCCACTCAGAGGAAAAACTTCACCACTGCTGTAAGCAATGTTGAAGCTCTATGATGCACTTACTGTGCAAGTAGGTAGGGTCAACTCTCTTGATTTTTCCGTAGCTTTCTTACTTAAATACATTGAGTTGTTTTATTAGTATGAATATTTTTTACAGTTGGCTATCTGAAATTTGGGATCTGCTATTTGAAATTACTGTAGGTCAGCCAACAGTGTAGCCTTATGAAATTCCCTGTTGTCTGTATTGATCAGTTGGTTTTCCATCCTCAACAAACAGATGGTTTTGTTTGATTTGAAGATGCTATCAGTGCTATCCAAGGCCATAGTACTGGCTTGAAACCAGACCTTTGAACACCAACCAGTTTGGGGCTCCAGAATCAATATTGAATGCTGTCTCTCAAACATGTCTCTTGGTTGAAACCTATTTCTGTGAAATAAGTTATATAATACTAGGGTTTTGATTAGGTAGGTTATCCGCAAATAACAATGCTGCTAGTGCCTGATTTTAGTAGTCACAAACCACTGTGTTGTGTTCTAGCTGCCAAATCTTATTCTGAACATTTTATTCAAATTGCATGCAGAGAAAAATAAAGAATTGAATGTTTTTTATGTCATTGTCCAGTGCATTACTTAGGATTTGTGCTTTAATATAGCTTATAACTATGAAGTCATAGAACACCATTTGCATCTTACAAGATGCTCTGTAGTCATCAGATTTTTTTAATCTGCTCAAATGTCTCTATTTTTTTTTCAGTCATAGATTCATCATGGTTAGATAACTGTTCATTTCTCTAATAAGCTTTCTCAGCTAAAACAAAACATATCTTTAACTGAGATCAGTTATTTCAGAATCTCTTGCTAACATTCAATTATTTACAAATTAACAAGGCTGGAGAGGTTGATTTAGTATTATCATGACTTTTGCATACCTTATGTTAAGGTTACTTTGGTCTTTGTTTCAAACGTTAAGTATGTTTTTAAGGCTTCAGTCAACATCCAGCTGTTCAGCCGAGTATCTTTGTATAAAGCCTCTAAGCTCAGATTTGACGATAAGTAAACTGAACACCCTCTTAATGGAAAATCACACACATTTCCAGTGTGTTCCAATGTGTGAAGCTATCTTCTCACTTGAGGGGTGGGAGGCAGTTTAAGTAGGACAACATGAATAGATTGTTCTTCCCCTGCCCCCCCATGTACAAATATGTGTAGCCTTCACTGTAGCTATGATTTTCAAGGGCACATCGGAGGGCACTGTTGCTTCTGCCAGCCCACTGCTCTACAACACCAAAGAGCCGCTATGTACAGTTTCTCACGGACTTTCTATGAATGCAGCTGAGTCTGGGATCCCACTATTGAAATTCCTGCACGATGCCAGCTTTAGCCCTTATGAGCCCTATCTCACTTTTTTAGGTTGAATAGGCTATTAACAGACCTGGAAAGAGGGTGAGACTTTGCAAATATCTCGGGGAGAAAAGCATGGAAGTGGGATGTTGCTTGTTGAACAGAGAAAGAATGTTCATTCTGTGTATCCCCTAAGAATTTTTTCAATTTCATTTCAGATTGTACTTTAAGTAAAAACTGCTTTTGAGTTTTTAAAGTGTTAATATATACTAAAATTGAGGGCAATTTAAAAAAAAAAGTAATCTACATTTGAAATTCTACAATTTTTTTAAAAGACGTGGCAGCATTTAAATATCTGGGAGATTCTTTTTCTTATATTAGATGTAATTGCTTCTCTGTGGGGGAGGAGGTAAGAAAACTTCATCCCCAAATTTTCTCCTTTTGGCTGATTCCTTTTTCTTGAAGCAAAGGCGGCTATCAGTTATCATGTGGTATATGTTCAAAACAGTTCCGTGTTTTCTTTTTAAAGCTGTGGTGTTGTATGAAATGAAAATCCATTTAGAAAGAGGAAAACAGCCAATAACGGTAGGATTCTCAACCAAAGCCTTAGTTCAAACAAGCTAAAAGAGTCTGCCTGATTCTTCTGGTAACAATGCAGCAGTTCATTGGTGGGTACTAAAAAGTAATACAATCCTTTGTAGTGAAATTGAAGAGAAGCGATGATTGAATTAAAGGATAGTTTAAAATACTTCCTTGTGCTCACAGTAATTATGAAGCATTATAAAACTATTTGGTAGTGGAAACTGTAGTACAGTTAAAAGACAGTCTGCAGCAAAGTCATTCAACAGTATGTTATCTTTCCTCTGAGCAAAAAAGACAACGTATGTTAGAGAATGTGAAACTGTTTTTTCAACTATTTGGCCTCTTCCCATTGCCTTTCCCTTTTTTCACTCATTATTTTGGTATGACTTACTTTGAATTTAATAGTTCTCAGGATCCATCTGCAGCTTCTTTATATAACTTAACCAGAACATTTGGAGCTGGACTTCCTCAGACTGAATCCAGAATTTTTATAAAAAGAGGACGCTTGGAGTCAGCAGAGTCCTTCAGGTAGGAAGAGAGAATTTTTACGTTGTAAGAAAGATAAGGGATGGTGCATAATAAAGCTGTAAGAAATCTTACTCTTCAGATCTACAGAATATACCACATTTTCCTCCACAAGATCACTGTGTACTGCAGAAATGTAGCCTGAAGCTTTCTGCGGGCTGGATATGGTGGAGCCGAGGAGGAAGGTGTCAGGAGCTGTCGGGAGGAGAGCCATGTGCTCTGAGGAGGCACTGTGGCTGTGTGTGAGAACACGTTCCTTGTCATGGCTTAGCTATACATCATCTCCAGCATGAAGTTGTAACTAAATTGTGACCTCAACGGGAAATAATTAAGTCATCAAATGTAGTAGGAATGTTTAAAAACCTGGCAACTCTTCCTCTGTATTTTGGAGTGGCAATTCGAGCACAGCTTTTTGGATTTGAGAGCCTCTGAGGTCTTGTTGCCATAGAGTTATGTTAATTCTGCTGCAAACTTGATAAGCATCACATACAGACTCTTTCTTAGCACCATGTTGGATCAGATTTGTCAGCCCCTGGCAGCTATGCAGGGATAGGAGAGGAAAACCTTCCTTCAAAGATGGGATGGCTGTAGTTTCACTCGCAGCATGTTCATCACAAAGCAGTGGTTATGCCCTGATGTTTTACCTCTTCAAAGGTAGAGTTGAATCAGGGCTTTGACCTCCCATTACCTAATTCTGTATATGAAAAGCGAGAAAATAGAGCTTTGTGGAAGGTGCTAATCAGGGATGATCTCAAAATAGCAATCATTGATCTCCATTTAATCATTGCAAAATGAATCACGATGTATATGTTAAAAACTAAGAACCCTCTCTTACATCCGTGCTTACAGTCTGTGACGACCTGCTCTCCCATCAGCCAGGAACCCTGCCCTATATCAGACCAATGTATCAGCGTGTATCTGTACCGCCTGTATGCCCTGACTCCTCAGGCTCCCTTTCTGGAATGCACAGGCTCCTCACTAGTGTTTCTTTTGAGGCATTGGCAATGGGGGCTCTAGTGCCACCACCTATTTTCCTGGCTTTTACACCCTCAAGGAGCTCAAGGAAAGTCTGCTTCCTCACAAAGGTTGGTCAGGTATTCATTTTCCCAAAGATCAGAGCTTGAGAGGAAGAATGAGTAGGGGGGGGGGAGAGAGAGTCTGTTCTAGGAGAATTTCAGGCTGAAGCGTCTGTGTCTCTAGCTTGCTTTGCTGGAATAAATGAGGCCTCTGGAAGTGGGATCCTGGCTTTGGCTCTGTTCTTTGCTCGCATCAATGAGTGTTGAGATCCCTTCCTGCTTGCATGGGATAGAGCTGCAGTGAATAGAGCGGTAAGGCAGAGGACTACAGAAGGCATTTCTCCAGCATGGATCTCACAACAGGAAATGAAATCCCCCACGACAGGAGCTTGTTCATTGTGTTATAAGGGCTATTAGTTACTTTCCAACAGGCCCAAGGCTTTTGTGTAGTGAATATGATTTTTTTTTCCTTTTTTCTCTTACATTGTTTTTCACATAGTCGCTGAGTCTAATGACAAGTGCTGTTTCTCTAACCATAAAGCCCTCTCACTAATCACTAGAGAAGGAGAAAGAAGGACCAGAAGAAGAGCAGTAGGAGAGGACTACAGTCAATACATACCATAAAATCAGAATAATTGCAATAAAAAGGAATATTCTATTTTTTACTTACACTAATTAAAGTATTAAAAAAAAAAAAAAAGGGAAAAAAAAGCTGGGACTACATCAGTGTGAAGGACCTCGATCCTGAGACACTTACCGGTGGTGCAACTTCGGAGAATAATGCCAGGCCAGCTAAGAAAACAAGAAATACAGAATGAAAAGCCATTTTGCCTACCACTAGGAAGTCTCAGTGTCAGCAAGTAGAAATTGGTGGGATCTGTGATTTTTATATCAAGGCCTCTAAACTGAGGCTACTTATCAGAAAACCCATATGACTTTCAACATGCTGATTCATACTATTTACTTAGTAAACAATGAGAAAATAAGTAACTCATACAAACATGAACCTTGTCTGCAAAAATAAGTCTCTTCTATCATTTCTGTGGAAATATTGTGAATATTGCCTAGCTCAACTGCAGTGATCTATTTTCTTGGAAACAATGTCTATTCTGTTTTATTTTTCTCTTCTTGTTGAGGAATAGTGCTGTATGCATCTCATATAGTTGAGAGAAATACAAATTTCTTGTCCACTCGGCAATTTCAGTTTCAGTGAGAATTTCTCTGTGGTTATAGCTTGGCTTAATTGACTCACACACGTTTATCTATTATGAGATTTCTCTCTGTGGTGGCCTCGCCCCCACCTGTGATAAAAGGTAAATGGATAATGTGTGGGCTATCTAGTTATCTTATGAATTCCCCTGAAGGAAAAATATGTTACTTTTGGTTTCCAGCCTGATAAATAGATACCTACATACCCATTTCTGGAGCACAGTTAAACAGTGTTTTAAGTCCTGTCACTTTACTTGTGCCTTAGATTCAATACAAGTTCAGGACTTTCCCTGTACAACTGCAAGTCAGCCCCCACCAGAAGTCTGTGCTTCATTTTAGGGAACTGTTACTTCTTGAAATTAAACTTTGTCTTTCTGATCTTCACTTAAACGCATGCACATACGCTCTCTTACTCGGTTTATCCTGTCCTCGGGGGGATGACTACATGCAGAGCAGTTTTTTGGTTTGGTTTTTTTTTATGACTACACCACGACTGTATGAACATACTTATCCCCTATTTTGAGGGCTGGGCGTAGCCCACTGCAAACCAAGCCTACTGGTTTTCAAGCTCTAGGAATAGTAAGATCCCATGAAATCTGCATGCTTTAAGATGGGTGCTGTTTTGGAACTATTTGCACTGCTTACAAGAGTTGTGTAACTGTGGTAGTGTCCAGAAATCAGGGAAAAAAGTAACCAAATAGTGAAATGTTAAAGGCAAGCTTTTTTAACTTGTGAATTCACTTGGTATGCAGTCATCCCAGCAGGCTCTGGGTGTAGAGATAAACTCCAAGGTCAGTAGCAGACGGGTGCTGATGGTTTCTGAATGGCATGATTTCAGTAACAATCTCTGTAGTTTCTGTAATCCTGTTAAACAACAATTCCTCTGCATCAGGATATTTTAAATACAATAGGCCATCAGTCTACAGAAATCACTGCTAAAGCCCTCAAACTCTTTGGTCAGTTTATCAACAACATTATTTGAATCACAGTCACTCTACAGCTTACCTTTTACTGTTTCTAAAAATATGAGGAGACTGCTAAGATGATGCTTCTATTTTAGGACTCTTTTTAAAAATGGCTAGAGATTTGACTTATTAGAGATTTAATTGGAATGCACCTGAATACAGTAGCCAACTGGGTTAAAGATCAAAGTTGTTAAAAAGGGTGCTAATTGAAATTGCTTCAGAACTTTCTAGATTGAGCCGCAAACTTTCCTCTTGAAAGGACAAAGTGTTGAGGTTTGCCTGAAGTTTTAAGTAAAGGTACACACATTTTAACTCTTTCAGCTCTCTGGATATATATATTTCAACAGTCTTTCTGCACTGTTTGTTCTGCTGCTAGGTATTCAGTATTTCTCCTATTTACCCTGTGACCTAGTTGATAGTGGGACTTTTTTAAGGTAGTGGAGGAAGATAACAGACCCAAATCAAGTGTTAATTTGCTTCCATATCCCATGCATGGCTTCCGGATGTCCTTTGCACTTGAACACAAATCATGATACCTTAGAACACAATAAAATTTCACCAACAGAATCAAAACTGTTTTAAAGAAGTAACGTTTTATTGACTTGTCTGAAGTTTGCCAGGTTACAAAATGGAAAAAAAAACTAATGTAGCAAAAAGTTATGCATTAGCAGGAGGAAAAACCTTCCTCCTAAAAGCCTACGACAGTTCTAGCAGAGGAGGGTATTTGTGTAATGACAGTACATGTTTATTCCTGGGGATCACTGACAACAGCAGTGGTTGAATAAGAGAAAGGACTGAGGAGAGCAGCAATGGTATAGTGGCGGTGACCGGAATCATTAGCAGTGAACACCACCTGGAAAAGAGAAAACTTGTGATCATGATGAACAACGAACATTCAGACCTACCTTATTAAGAATTAGCACGCACACTCCATTTCTTCTGCAGGCTACTTTGCCAGTTCTGTTCAATCAAGGATTTCACCGTTCTAAGGGTAATGCTCCCCATTACTTTGTGATGCTCGCTGAAGACTGAGAAATTTGTGAATTTGGACCCAGGTCCACAAAGAGTCATAGAATCATAGAATAGTTCGGGTTGGAAGGGACCTCTAAAGGTCATCTAGTACAACCCCCCTGCAATGAGCAGGGACATCTTCAACTAGATCAGGTTGCTCAGAGCCCCGTCCAACCCGACCTTGAATGTTTCCAGGGATGGGGCATCCACCACCTCTCTGGGCAACCTGTTCCAGTGTTTCACCACCCTCAGCGTAAAAAATGTCTTCCTTAGATCTAGTCTCAATCTACCCTCTTTTAGTATGTTTAGTATATAATAGTACATTACCCCTTGTCCGATCGCTACAGGCCCTGCAAAAAAGTTTCCCCCCTTGAAGTATTGAAAGGCTGCCATAAGGTCTCCTCAAAGCCTTCTCTTCTCCAGGCTGAACAACCCCAGCTCTCTCAACCTTTCCTCATAGGA